TCCTCCAAGTATTTCTACTCCCCCAGGAGGTCTCAGTCCCGGCTCTATGTCTATGCGGTCAGTGCCGGGTGGGGGTGGGGTTATTTAGGGGGGCGGAGATGCCGGTCTGGGGGCCTACCTTCCGGAGCATGGTGTTCGGCAGTTTGCGGATCCTCTCCACGTTGTCTGGACTGACACCCATCTCATAGCAGCAGACTCGGAGCAGGTCCCTGTAGCTCAGCGCCTCCCTGTCCATCTCCACCTCGATGAAGTCGTTGTCCCCGGGGGCGTTACTCTGAATTCTCACTTTCAGGACCAGATCTGAGCAAAACAAATCAACCAATCAGAAGCCCCCCTGCGGCACCACAGCGCGCGCAGCTTCCTTCTCCACCCGACACCGAGCTACAATCATCTCCATAATCAGCCGAGACCCAGAGCCATCTATCTATGACCCCGCAAGGGGGAGTGTCAGACCTCTGCAGAGAGACCGCTGCTTCCACACAGAACCAGGCTCCTCCTCTGCAGAGACCGCTGCTTCCACACAGAGAGCCAGGCTCCTCCCATGCAGAGAGGCCGCTGCTTCCACACACAGAGCCAGGCTCCTCCCATGCAGAGAGACCGACCGCTGCTTCCAGAGAGCCAGGCTCCTCCCATGCAGAGAGACCGCTGCTTCCACACAGAGAGCCAGGCTCCTCCTCTGCAGAGAGACCGCTGCTTCCACACACAGAGCCAGGCTCCTCCCATGCAGAGAGACCGCTGCTTCCAGAGAGCCAGGCTCCTCCCATGCAGAGAGACCGCTGCTTCCACACAAAGAGAGCCAGGCTCCTCCTCTGCAGAGAGACCGCTGCTTCCACACACAGAGAGAGAGGCTCCTCCTCTGCAGAGAGACCACTGCTTCCACACACAGAGAGCCAGGCTCCTCCTCTGCAGAGAGACCACTGCTTCTACTGCCCCCCCACCCCACCGGAACAGTCATGCAACCTTTAAAATAAAAATCTCCCCCTTCCCCAGTGACCCGGAATCCGGTCTGGTGATGTCACAGGTCCCCTATACACTCTTCTTCCTCCAAAGTGGGCGGATCCTGCAGAGCGTTTCACCATGTGATGACACGGGGCCACTCTTTGCAGCATTCCCCTGGCAGCGCAAGCTGGGGGCGGAGCCTTGATACCCTGAGCTTACAGGAAGTGGGCTCAATGATACTGGACATCCCGGTCCTGTGGGGTGTGCAGGGTTCAGGAGGAGCGTGTGGCAGCGGGAGAGACGTTTATATTCTATACTTCTGACTCCGCCCCTCGCAGCCCCCGCCTCCCTCCTGCGCTGAAACCCAATACTCCCAACTTCCTGCAAGCTTGCTCCCTTTAAAGCTGCAGCAGCTATGTAGAGCCCGCCCCCATTTCCTGTCCAAACGACTCCAATCATCATTAATCCCTTCTCCCAGGGGCATCCCGAGGCGGGGACCAGGCTAGTGACACCCCGCCGCGACATCACTGCGTGTGCGTGGTCGTCTTATTGATACCTGCCGGCGGCCATCTTGGTAATGGACACCGGCAGAGAGAGGAGAGGACACCGGCAGAGAGTTCACCCGGCGGGATAAGGTATGCCGCCGGGTCCCCTCCTCTCTCCTGACACTGTCGGGCTCCCGGTCCGTGACCGAGTGACCAACTTTTCATAGGGGGGTGACACCAAAATGACTGCGAGTCATTTTGGTGTCACTCCTCCAATGGTGTCACCCCGGTGCGGGCCGCACCCCCCTTGTGACGCCATGGCCCTCTCCTCCTGATCTGTACTATCGTTGGCCCGCCTGTTCATTGTGGTGTGGGGGTGGAATTCAGCAGCTTGCCCACCCCCCCTGGCAGGGGGCGGGGCCATACCTTTCATGTTGGAGGGGAGGGGGGGGGGGGGGTGTTGGTGTGGGAGTGGAA